GGAAAGGTTAAAAAAAAAAAAATAAAAATAAAAAGAAAGTTACAGAAAAGGTAAAAAAAAAACCAGCCCAAGTCAAGTGACAAAAAAAATAAAAATAAAGAGAAAGTTACAGGAAAGGTAAAAAAAAAAAAAAAAAACTGTAAAAAAAAGCAGCCCCCGGTGATGAGAACTACAGCAAAGGATGTAACGACTTACACTCCTAACTCAAGTATAAGAAAATTATGAAAAAAAAAAAAGTTTGGAAGTTTTTATGTTCCCTTGAAAGACCACAGAAGAAGGTAATAAAGCGTTCCAAGCAAGCAGGTAGTGAAGTTCGTGAAATTCACTTCACCAGAATCGAAGCATTAAAAAAAAAAAAAAAAAAAAAAAAAAAAAAATTAGTAATTTAATCCTATGCCATGGACCAGAAGGGTTTAATACAATGGAACAAAAAAAATAAAAGGTCGTATACCACAGCAGCACTGAGTATACCGCAGTAAGATGATAAATTGACGACAAAGAACTGAGCTTTGCTAGTTATGATTGCTATAAATATTTATAGATATTGGTAAAGTTTTTTTCCGAGAATTTGTTGATGACCTCCAATTCTCACCGACTTCGGGATGATCAGTATCTGAAGAAAAAGGAATATTATTTTTTTTTTTTTTTTTTTTTTTTTTTTTTTTTTTACCTTTTCCAGGGAACATTTCGAGAATCCTTGTAACTATTTGGTCTTGAAGTTCAGCAAGAAAGACTTCCATTCTTAGCTTCTTTCATTCCAAGAGTCATCGATATATTTATTAAATTCTAACTATAAATAAATGAACTATTAAACAGAGATGTTTAGGTGATATTACTAACTACATATTAAATTCTAATATGTAGTTAGTAATATCACCTAAACATCTCTGTTTAATAGTTCGGAGTTTTTGATTAGAGGTAAAAGTAGCATCATTGTTTCGGAAGGTCGCTTTGAATCTTCCAACAAAAACATCATAATCATTAATGCAAGGATCTTCATTTTTTTCAATCAAGAAAGCAGTCCAGTTCATTGCTTTTCCATATCGATAAGAAATAATATATATATATATAATTTTATTTGCATTCTCAGTAAAGCGTTAGGGATAAAGTATGTAAATAAGATTCATCTTAGCAAGAAATCCTTTAAAGAAGCGACGGTCACCATCAAATCCGTCCATATAAATAGGGTTGTTAGTATTGATATCTTCCATTGGTAGAACAATTGGTTAAGCAAATTAATAATTTTTAAATTTGATATTTGAAAATAAAAGTATTTACTTAATTAAGAAAACATAATTTACATAGTATTGGTCCAAAAAAAAATATTTGTAAAAATTTGTTAAAGTCTTACACTGTAAGTTTCAGTAGTTCTTCAACAATAACACAGATTAGGTTGATTGTTATTGTTAGAATCGAAGAATACGATTGAAGAAGTAATGTCGTTAAGATTTTTTTTATATTAACTAACTTATTGTTAGTATCAAAAAGAATATTCAATTAGTTACCCTAATTATCAAGGTAATCTGAATGTTGAAGTATTATGAAGTTGGAGTCCCACGTTTAGAAAACCAAGTAATCCCTTTTTTTTTTTTTTTTTGTAAAGAAAAGAAATATTTCAAAAGAATAAATCAAAAATTAAAAATTTAATATATTTTTGAAAAAATGTTGAAATTATAACTGAATTGAAATCTCAAATTCAGTTATTTACATTTCAATAATTAAAAATATTATTTATTTATTAATAATAAATAATATATAATTAATTAATAATTAATATAAATTCTTGTTTAATATTTAAAGGGTTATCTTAGGCCTAATAATTCTGAGAATATTAATAAATAAGGTTTATATTAATAATTAATTTCAATTCTACACTTGATATAAAACAAATATGTTACTACACATATTTGTTTTATATCAGAAATGCCCTTGCTAAAAATTAAACTATAATATTTTTTTTTTATAAAAGAAAATATAAGGTTTAATTAAAATAAATAATAATTTTAAAATTTTATTTTCTTTTATATTTATAATTCCTATTTGTCCGTTTGGTATCTACGCGATTGTTGCTATATTTAATAATCTCCTTTAACGCGATTTCAGGTTTGGGCATCATAATTTTATAAATATTTATTTTATTTTTATTATTATTTTGAATATAAATATATGGAATTTTAATTATTTTTTTAATTTTATTAATTTTTATTTTCTTATCACTATCTATATTTATAATATTACTAAAATCAACCGGTGAATTATTATTATTAATTTTTCTTTCTTTTATATTAGTAATATTATTAACTGAATAATTTTTTTTTATAAATTATTCATTTTTATTAGCATTTGAAGTAATTTGAATATTATCTACTTTTGAATTGTTACTATCAATAATATTTATTTCCGTAACCAAACCAGAAGTTATAGATTTATTAATTCTATTGATAATGCTATCAACTTTAACATATTCATTGATATTTATTTCTTCTTTTACAATTGTATGACTATTTATTTTATTTCTTATATTTTCAGAATTATTAATAATATTTTTATTTTTACTATTTGAATTAATATTTTCCTTATTATTTATTATTACAATACTATTAATCTCAATACTATTATTTTGATTTTTCTTAATATTGGCACTATCTTTAATATTATTTTTTTTTTCTTTAGTAATTATAATATTATTGTTTGTTTTACATTTGCTATTACTATTATTTACTAATTTATTATTTTCTCTGAAATTATCCAATTTTAACGCGTTTAATTTATTTAGTTTCGTGTTTATTATGTCATCAACCTCGTCATTTTTAGTATTATTAATTTTATTACTATTATTGTTATTATTATTATAAATGTTATTATTATAAATGTTATTATTATTATAAATGTTATTATTATTATAAATGTTATTATTATTATAAATGTTATTATTATTATAAATGTTATTATTATTATTATTATTATTTTCTTCATTTTTATTGATTCTTTTATTTAAAACAGATAATTTTTCAAGTTCAGCTACCACTCTAAATTCAGAAGTTCCTTGTTTCAAAAGAATTAAATTGTCGCTTGGGTCAATAATAATTCCTAATTCTCTTTGTGTTTTAAAATTCAAACTAATATCATAAAATGGATTTTCTTTCTCAACTACTCTGAATATTACATTTTTTTGAACACCACCAATAGTTAAATTTAAAATTGTAAGTTTAGTTATTCCAGTAATACTTGAGTCATCAATACAATGATTAAGAATATATTTTTCCAGAAAACTACGATTTACCAAATTATTTTCAACGTATCCTTTTAAAATACACCTAGCTTCCTTATTATCAACAAGAGCTAATATTCCCATTGATTCACCCTCTACAAACTCATCTAATTCATCCACGTCATCACTAACTCCAGTTTCAAATCTGCCTTTTTGAATTAGCAATTTTAACAATTGTAATTTTTCTGTTAGGTTATCTTGATTAATATCCATTTTATTTCTATATCTATTTTTAAAATGTACTACTATTTAATATTATTAAATATACTACTATTAAAATAAATAATATTTTTATCTTATTATACTTATATCTATTGTAATTTTATTCCAAAATGTTAACACTTTTAAACTACACTATTTATATCTTCCTACTCTTATTTTAATTAAAATAATATTCCTATTATAGATTTTATTTAAATTATTCACTTAAATGCTAATTAAAATAACGATATTTTTACTATTTCACTATCTCTAATTAATATTATTATCCTACTTAAACTATCTTACTTTTAACACTAACACTATATTAATAAATTATTAATATATATATATATTTATTTCCAATATTTATTTATTTTAAAACAATTTAATTAAATTATACTAAAATGAATGAAATAACATATATTGTATAACTTTCTCTTCACCAAGGATAATATAACTATAAATAACCAATAAAAAAAATTAAAAATTTATATCCTAAACAGTATATTTTAATTAATCCTAACTGAAGAGAATTTATGTAAATATATACGGATATATAATTAATTAACAAAATTACTAAACACCACTACTTATAAATTACTTTTTACACTGCACATCACCGATATCTCCACCAATTTTTGATATGCGGGACTTTTATGTGCAATAATTTATAAGCAGTGGGTTTTAAATAATGGTAGTTTAGTAAATTTTATTAATAAAATTATAAATTCGTACAATTAAAATAATAATTCTAGTTCCTAAAAATTTACAAGAGAGTTCTCTATTTCTAATATAAATAATTTAATTTATAAGAAATAGGTAATATATTAAATACATATTCTAATATATAGAACTATATAAATTTTATATGAATTAAAGTATTATAATTATTATAATTATAATAATATATATTGAAATAAAATAAAATAAAATAATTATTATCAAAAAGATATAAATTTAATATTTAATAATTATTATTAAATATACAAATATGTTACTACACATATTTGTTTTATATCAATTTATATTATGTTTTTATATATGTTTACAACATATATAAAAACATAATATATATTAATTTCAATTATTCAAATTAATTATATAATTAAATTTATCTTTATATCTTATTAATATTTATATTACTATATTATTAATATTTTATTATTATATAACTTACAAAGTATAAAAGCAAGATGTAAAAATCTAACTTTTATGTTCTTTGTAAGGTTATTGTAAAATTACCTTAATAGTAATATATTATAGATATTTCATTATTAAATAAAATAAATAATTTTAAATTCAAATTAATTTAATAATTCTAATTAGCCATTTAAATATTTATTATTATTTTTATATATCTATATAGCTTATTCCTATATAGACATATCAACTTAGTAAATTTTTAATAAAACATATTATTTTATTTAAATTTAAAACATAAAATATATCAAAATCTTAACAAAAAAATTTTGCACTAAATTAGGTCGATAATTAAACAAAAGTTTTCCTTTCACAAAACCCAAACAGAGGGATGTTAAATCAACGGTAAAGCAATTGACTACAGATCAATAGGTCTTCAGTTCAAATCCAGAATGTCCCTTAAAAATTTTTAGTAAATAGGTCAATAGATGAAAATCATGTTAATATTAGTAAATTTCTGAATAATGAGTGTGTAAATGTATATATGACGTTGTACCAAGTATATAACTTCCTTCTTGGTAGAAGAGATGCAGACATTGTTGATTTAAATTATAAAAAGGACTGGGATATTTTATTTAAAAGAAAAATCATTTCTGGTGATTATTCTAAAATGATATTCTCGGCTCTCTTTACAGAAATTATGTCCAGGGTTAGTATTTGACAAGGATTGTTATTCCGACATATTCCGACGGAATAAGAGCATTAACGTTTAAAAATGCAGTATGACAGGCTAGCAGTACCAATGCCTCTGAAGGAAAAGACCATGGTTTCTTTCAAATTGTTAACTTAAAACCCTAATCCAGAATAAGAATTCCTTTAAACCCGAAATCTTATAATCTGGAAGTGAGGTTCGTTGCATATGATTGTTTTTCTGAAATTATTTATACATCTCATTTTAAATATTACTTTTATTTCATACTACCATTTAAAATATTATTATGTTCAATTTAGACAAATAATATTTATTTTTTATTAATTTTGTGTTTTTTTATTATAAAATTTTTTTCTTGTAATTAATAAATGAATAAATAAATAAAGTTAAAGTTTGTAATAATTTGGGCCATAAAATAAATAAAAAAAAAAAAAAAAAAAAAAAAAAAAAAAAAAAATAGAATTATAAATATATATTTATTTTCAATTTAGTAAAATTTTTGTTGTTGTATCACAAACAAATATTGATATAAAAAATTATATATATGATTATAATTATAATAAATTATATTTTCAACGTTTTCCTTAAATATTTTTTATTGAACAATATTTTCTTTATATTTTTATACTTAAAATTTAATAATTTAATAATTTAATAATATTATAAATGTTATATATTATAATTATTTTCTATATGGAAAAAAAAAAAACTACTATTATTTTGTTTAAACAAGAATATTTATATTTTATGAAATTAAAATATATTATATGAAAATTATTCTTGTTTAAACAAAATAACATATAAATTTTATGTATAAATATTATGAATTATTAAGATATCATTTATTATATAAATTATGATAAGGGACATATATGACCTACATGAAACATTTATGTAATAACACAAAAAATAAAATCATGATATAATTAAAAACTAGGTAGTAAAAATATATATATATAAAAAAAGCAATTATAATAAAATATTAAAATAACAGTTTAACTTTAATATTAATAAAATAATACAAAATATTAATATTAATAAATAAATAATAAATAAAATTTTTGAATTGCAAAATTTTAGTTTTTATTTTCATATTAATTTTAATATTTCTTGTGTAACATTTTTATTTTAAAATTTCCATGATTAAATGGAAAAAAAATAAATCTTAATTTATAAAATTTATTATATTAGATTTAACCTTATTTAGAGTTAATCATTAATTTTAAAACTTAAAAATTACTTAAATATGATATACTAGAACATCATTTCTTTTATTTTATATTTTTTAGTGATAATTGTTTTTATTATTTTAATATAGTATAAAAATTTTATAATAAAATTTTATTTTAAATAATATATATATAATTTATTAATTCGTGATTATATTTTAATAATTTATTCTAAATATTTTATTAATGTATATAACCTAAATAATTCATTAAATGAGAAGTTACATATTTATTAAAAAAAAAAAAAAAAAAAAAAATAAAGATAAAAAAGAAAAAAAAGAAGCTATTCGATTTATAAAAATAATAAATTTAATAAAAAAAATAAATATATATAAATTATATGTAATTTTAAATACTTTAAATAATATATTTGATAACTTTATTATATTTAAAAAATCATTAACTATATTTAATTAATAATAAAACTTTTTTTTTTATATGTTCGTTCGTTTATTTAAAATATTAGATATGAATTTTTAGCTTTTTAATCTATTATTAGGAATTAAATTATATTAATAATTATATTTATCACATAAATTTAAAATTGTTAACAGCTTTTCTGTCTCATAAATCGAATAATACTTTTTTTTTTTATTATTATATAAATAAAATAATAACCAAAAAATATTGATAGAGTGATATATTATTTAATAAGTAATTTTTATATAATCAATTATATATATATTTATATTTCATTTGATTAAAATTACAATTATTTAATGAAATTTAATTAATTATTTATTCTATTAAAAATAAAATAAAAGTTGTCACTCCTTATGCTTTTTTTATTTCTTTGAAATTCTATTTATAATAAAATTTTAATATATTCTAAAGTGAAAAATAAAATTTTAATTAATCATTATATATATACCAAAATCATTAATAAAGTATAAAAATCATCAGTCTAAAATTATATAAATTAAGATTTATTGTAATTTATTTTTATTTTTTATTATTATTATTATGCTTATTATTATGTTTATTATTACATTTATTATTCTTATTTTAAAAATAATTGAAGTATATTACATTTATATTTTTTTTTTATAAAAAAATTCTCAATATTTTAAATTATAAATATAGGACATTATTGTTATAATTTATCTATACGTACAACATATTAAAAAGTAAGTAGTAACTTATAATTTTAAAAAAAAAAAAATTATTATATTTATATAAATATATTTTTTAATTTATATGCAAGTGTTTAATTTACTAAATATTTCTTTAATACTTTTTTAAAAATGAATAGAAAATATTAATTAAAAAAAAAAATATAATTGTATATATGTATACATATTTATATTGCCTATTGAAAGAAAAATTTTTATTGTCTCATTCCTAATAAATATGATAATTATGGAGATGAAAATATTAATGATAAAAATATTCAAATTATTAAATTATGTGTAATACATATTTTATATGAGATATTTTTTAAAATATATATTTTATTTTAAAAATATAATTATTAAATAATTATAATAATAACTGTAATTATAAAATCAATTTTATAAAATTATAAATATGGTTTCTATTAATTATAAATATTTTTTATTCAATTATAAAAAATTAATTACTTAATTATATAATAATAAAATTAAATGCATTTAATAAATAGTATAGATTAAAAAAAATTTTTATTTATTTTAAAAATAATAATTATTTTTATCATACGTAATGATTTATTTTTGTAAATAGAATTTTAAACTTTTTCATATAATGAAATTATATCCTATTTAAAAATATTTTTATAATATTTATATATAGAGATTATATAGATTATATATTTTTAAATTTTAATTTTTAATTAACTATAAATGTGATATAAAATGGATAGAATATCATTAGTTAATTCTAATATATATTATTTTTAATTAGAATTTTTTTTTAAAGTTTTAAATCTTATCTTTTTATTTTTAATTATAATATTAAAAAAAAAAAAAATAATAATAATAAATATTTAAAATAAAAATAAAAAAAAAATAAAAATAAAAAAAATAAAAATAAGAATTAAAATAAAATAATAAAAAAAAATTATAATTATTATTAATATTATATAATTATACAATTATATAATGAAAAAAAAAAAAAAAAAAAAAAATGAAAATAAAAATATAAAACATAATAACAGTGATTTAAAGATTCGAGGAATATATATGAAATATTCATATTCACCATAGTTATATATTTATATATATTTATTTAAATATTATATAATTATTATATATATTGAATGAATTCAAAAGAAAGATTTTATTAATAAGATTAACTATTACTATCATATCAAAATATAATAATATATAATTTCATTTAAAAATTTCTGTTGTTTATATCATATATAAATTTTTTCATATATATGTATAAAAGTTTAAAAAAAAAAAAAATCAAATTAATACAATAAATGAAAAGATTGTATATAAAAAAATTTTTGAAGGAAAACTAAATTCTAGGAATTAAAACCAATAAATCTAATAACTTCATTTCAAAATATTACATAAAATATTTATTTATATAATTACTAATTTAAATTATATTTAGATCATCATTCTTTCTATAAAACAAAACTATAGAAATAATTATAATAATTATGTATTAAATCTTTTATTATCAATAAAATATTTATTTTATAGTAATTATATATTCATAAATCAAAAAAATTGTTTTTTTTTTTTTTCTTTCTTTCTTTTTTTTCGTTGCATATTTTATTAATATTTTTTTTTTTTAAAAAAAAAAAAAAAAAGGAAAAAAAAAAAAGCATAAAACAAAAGAAAAAAACTACAGAATTATTTTTAAATTCAATTATAATAATTATATTTAAATAATATAAAAAAAGTTATTATAATTATCATCACCATTATTATTATATTTTTTATTGTTCTCTTCCTTTCTTAACTTTTATTCCTTATAGTGTATAAAATTTTTGTTCAGTAATATAAAAAATAAATAATACATTTAATATTAAATGTAATATTATTTTATTTTAAAATAATAATAATAATAATAATAATAAGATTAATAATAAGATTAATAATAGTATTAATAATAATATCAATACTAATATTTAATAATAGTACTGATAATAAAAAATAATAATCAATATAAATAGATAACCATTGAAATTAGAGGTAAATAATATTATTATAATTAAATATATTATTAATTTTAAAAAAAATATATATATATGACTATATCATAATTAATTTAACTAATAAATATTCCAATAAATTGATAAAATTAATGTTATTATAAATTATTATAATTATTATTATAATAATTTTATTATTATTATTATTATCTAAATATATATATTATTATATTTAAAGCTCAAATATTATATTGAGAAAAATTTTTAATTTCAACGAAATAACATTCAAAAGTAATTTTAATAATTGAATAATCATGTCCGAAAATGCAAATCTTATGGTTGGTGATTATAGACTTGAAAAAACAATAGGCCAAGGAACTTATGGAAAAGTAAAATTGGGTATACATATGAAAACTAATGAAAAAGTAATA